GAGGGAGGGAAGGAAGGAAGGAAGGAAGGAAGGAAGGAAGGAAGGAAGGAAGGAAGGAAGGAAGGAAGGAAGGAAGGAAGGAAGGAAGGAAATAATACTCCCGTGACAGGAGGAGAGGGGAGAGGCAGGACCGGAAACAAGGCTATAACTGCGCCATTTCTCTCTCAAACTCTGAGCCCCCTCTCTCCCCAGACCCCCATCCTTGAATTGCTGTGCTTCCAGTCTGATCAGCTGCTAAAACAGTTGTGGAAAGTACGTGGGAGATGCAGTCCGTGCAGTTAGTTAGAGAGCTTCCAGATGCCTCTTCCATCCGGCTAGCTCCGCCCACCCTCCCGACTCTGTCAGCCACAAGCAAATTCAGGAAGCTGCTGATGCAAACTCTCAATCTCCTCCCTGCTCTTAATATTGAACTCTGGCTTTTCTGGACAGCCTAAGGAAAAGTCCCGCTGCAGGGGGTGGGGCCTGGAACACTGGAAGTGAGGGTCTGCGTACTTCGTCATCTCTGCCCGCCTCTCGTAAGGCAAAGACTTCACTAAACTCCCAGTTGGTGGTTGGAGATCTCACCCTCCATCTCCACACAAGAACAAAGGACTCTGCCAGCCTCGCCCTCTTCTCTGTGAAACTATCTCTCTGCAATACAATAACCAGTTCAGTGGCTGGGGAAGTGGTACAGACAGGTCTTGCACACAAAATAAAACTGGGTTACTGGGACTGAAGAGCTGGCTTGGCAGTTAAGAGCACTGGCTGCTCTTACAGAGGACCCAAGTTCAATTCCCAGCAACCAAGTGGCAGCTCAGAAAAACCATCTAACTGCAGTTTCAGGGGATCCAATGCTCTCTTCTGACCTCTGCTGCACATACATTGTACACATACATACATGTAGGTAAAACATCCATATTGTAAAGTACTAATAAAAAAATCTTTTTAAAAAAAAACTGCACTGTTAGGTGAAATTTCGGGGGCATCTGTGATCAGAGCCTTGTGGAAACCTTCCCAGCTGTTCACTGAGGTCTTTGGATGGCCAGCCAACAAGCACGCCCTGGCAGGCTGTAAACTTACTTCCACGTGCCATTTCTGAACATAGGCTGGACGCTCCAAGAGGAACCAAAGATGTTAAAAGATTTGGAGAAGCAGTCATTGTAGATCAAGCCGGTGTAGATGGAGAATACGCCCATGAGCAGGATCAGGTAACGCCCATTGAAGAAGGTGTTCCAGATCTGGCCCAGGGAAACAGAAAGGGCAAGTTGTCAGTGGGGTCTAAGGAGATGCAGGAGATGGGATGTCGCCAGCATCAGTAGTGTGGAGAGAGATGGCCTGACCAAGGCAGACATCATATTCCCACATGCCAGGGTGACCTGAGCTTATGCAGGTTAATCAGAGATTCCCTGGCCTGTATTTACTGTACAAACAAAAATGTGTAAGCCTCATGTTCTTTCTTACAGCAGAATGGACTGCCATGCACGCTGAGGCCTCGTCTGCTAAGGAAGGGACTGTAGTCTCCAGCACCTCCAGGAGGGAAGCCTGAACTGGCCTCTGCTCCACTGTCCCAGGTCAGATCTATATTCATTGGGGGCTTTGTCTTCAGAGCTGGGCTTTTGTCTGCCACATCTGCCAGGGAAAGCAGTTTCCTGGGGCACTGGATACAGGTTATCATTCATTCTAAGGATGCTAGATACAGATATCATTCATTCTAAAGATGCCAGATAGAGGTATTCATTCTAAGGATGCTGGATACGGGTATCACTCATTCTAAGAACTGTTGACATGTTGTTTTCCAACTTTAAATGTTTCTATAAGAAATGACATCTGTTAAAAGCTCACCATGGAAGACTGAATTGGTCACAAGACTGACCTTGCTTATGATTAACTCACAATGATGTCATGGCACTTGCTCTACCAATCCAGCCTATGCCAAAGAACTGCAGCCATTTACAGTCTGGAACATAGCTAAGGGCATGTTTCCACTCTGTTGAATGTATTACCATGAGCACATCTGCCATTAACTGACTAGCAGACAAATTCCAACCCTCACAGGCACCCATGGGCTTCTACCTCCAAAACAAAGTGGAAGGGCACCATGCCACAGGCAGACTTCAAGTCAAGTGTGAGGTCCCAATGTCAGGAGCCCTTGGAGTTTCTTTTAAAAAAAAAAAAAGATTCTGCCATGAACAAACATTCATGGTATTTTATGATAGGTTTTAAAGGAAGCTACAAACAATGTTTAGCGCTTGATGGCAACTTTTGAAAATTACATATCTGCAGATAAGCATGAACACACAAAATGGAAATATATTCAAAAATATTCATCACCATCTTTCTCTAGATGGTTGGACTGTAGTCCAAACTAAGTTCTACAATAAATGTTTTGTTTTAATAATCAGAGTAAAGAAAGTTTTTTAAAAATTAAGAGAAAGCTAGGTTTAATTCCATCACTCCAGAGGCAGAAGTAAACAGATCTCTATGAGTTTGAGACCAGGTTGGTTTGTATAGTGAGATCCTGTCTCAAAATAATAGTGATGATGATGATGATGATGATGATGGGGACTGGAGGTATAACAATGGTAGAACCCTTGCTAAGTTCACACAAGTTCCTGGGTTTATTTCTCAATACCCCCAGACAGCAACCAAAAAAATCTTGTTATTCCTTATGTGACAATCCACATACACATTTTTTAAACAGATTGATTCTTACATGCATTTTTTTTTTTTTTT